AACTCCAGAGCTCCGAGTCCAAAACCCCCCGGCCTGCCTCCCCGTCGTCTCAGGAGGGCACCGAGGAAGCCCCAACCTCGTCCACCGCCACCCCTGCCCTCACCACTGGAGTCACAGAGGACATCGCCAACGGCTACAGGTCAGTGGACTCCTTCTCCTTCTTCTTTTCCTTTTTTCATTGACAGGGATGCCAAATCTCCGTTTTTTTCCAGCTTTTTACCGGGTTTTTTCATAATCTTGTGAAGGAAAGGGGAATGGTAAGAGAAATGGATTTTTTTTTGCTCATGTAAGGATTTTACAAGGTTCGTTTTAGGTGAGATGTGACGCTCTGCTCCTTTTCAGGGTTTTTTTTCTCCAAAAATCATTTGGCATCCCTGCATTTAGTGTGTACGTTCGTTTAGTTATTCAGTTGTTTGGTGTCTCCAATCGTTTGGTTATTCAGTTTAGTGTCTGTATTCGTTTGGTTATTCGGTGTGGTTATTAAGTTGTTTAGTGTCTGCAATTGTTTGGTTCTTCAGTTTGGTTCTTCAGTTGGGTTAGTGTCTGCAATTATTTGGTTATTAGGTTGTTTAGTGTCTGCAATTGTTTGGTTATTCAGATAGTGTCTGCTATCATTTGGTTGTTCAGTTTGGTTATTAGGTTGTTTAGTGTCTGCAATTGTTTGGTTATTCAGATAGTGTCTGCTATCATTTGGTTGTTCAGTTTGGTTATTCGGTTGTTTTAGTGTCTGCAATTGTTTGGTTATTCAGTTTAGTGTCTGCCATCGTTTGTTTATTCAGTTTGGTTATTCAGTTGTTTTATTATCTGCAATCATTTGGTTATTCAGCTAGTTGTTCACACATTCGTTCGTCTGTTCTTTCTTTCACTTTGTAATTTATTCCTTTGTTCACCCATTCGTTTATTCGCTCTTTCTTTCACATTGTGATTTATTTAATAATTGTCAATCCATGAGTTCGTTTTTTCATGTTCGTTCTGGTACATTGTAGTTTATTTTATTTGTCTAAGAGTTCGTTCATTCATTCAGTCATTCTTTATTTTATGTGTTCATTCACTCGTTCTATCATTCGTTCATTCATTCATTCATTACGTTCTTCCCCTTCAGATGTGCTAGTATTTAAAAAAAAATAATCACTCGTCCTTTCAGCCTGTCACTGGTTCATTCATTCATTCATTCGTTCATTCATTTTGTGTCTTCCCTGTTAGGACGTGCCTGCGCTACTTTTTGCCGCCGCAGTGGATCATGGACAAGGACGCGATCACGGCTATGTCCTTGCAAGAGTTGTCGGACTTCCCTCTAGACGACTTCTTCGACCATTACGAGAGGGGTCTACGCAGGGTAAGGAAGCAACTGTAGTTTTTTAAAAGAGAAAATCTTTTGTACAACGGGTCTGTCTATTTTCTGTGTGCACTTCATCTTTTATGTCAGATCTCCCTCCTTCAACTTCCCTGATCCATTTCTTTACTGATGGGGCATTATTCCCTCCTGTTATTCTGTATAGATCACCATGGGTTTCAACTGCAGACTTGTCGAGAAGAGTTTAATCACAACTCAGACATCGTAGCATGAGAAGGTTGCATCAATGTTTTGCCCAGCCATTTCCCTCGAATTTGCCTCGGACAAAGTTCACAAGAACACCACTTTTGACACGTCATAGCTCTATGACCCGTTCACCAATGCACTTGCAATTTGGCATTGAGATTTCTTAGACATGATGCCATGACGTCACAAAATTTAGTGGCTGTTGGTCGCGCACTTTTGATTTCACGGAGGAGGGAAACTTTATTCTGAGACAGACCCCGTAAGAACATGTTAATAACCCCCCCCC